AGGGACTCACAAGACAAATTGGCTTTAACAGACAAAGAATTCACTGTTTGTAACGAAAATCTAGGGAGTAGATCTGACTTCCCCTGGCTGCATCTGGGGCTCGAACATTGTCACAGGGGATTCATGTCCCTCAGATATCTTCCTCCCACTATGGTTTACCAGCTCAGCAAATCCATTGACAGGTGGGGTGGGTATGGGTGTGGGAGGGATGTGTTTTTCTATAGTTTTGGCAGTAAAGACTGTTCAAGGAAGATTCTGATTGGCCCAGCTTGGTCATATGCCCACCCCATAGCCAATCAATGTGGCCAGGCTTGGGTCACAAGATTGTGACTAAGGTGGAAGCAGTACAGACAAAACCAGCCAACCTCCAGCATGTTCTCAGTCTGTCCAATGGGAGTTTCTGGGTGGCAGGAGCTGTGTATCTAAAAGTTTCTGGCACAGTAGCCAAGAGGTGGAAGTAACCTAAATATCCCATGACAGATGAGTGGACAAAGAACATGTGGTATATGCATACAATGGAATATCATTCAGCCATAAAAAGGAGAAAATCCTGACTTATGTGAACACATGGATGAGCCTGGAAGACATCATGCTGAGTAAAATAAGCTGACACAGGACAGTATACTGCGTGGTTCCGCTCATTGTGAGGCACCTAAAAGAGTCCCTGTCATAGAACCAGAGAGTAAAATGGGGAATTGCCAAGGGCTGGGAGGAGGGAGAAATGGGGAGCCACTGGCCCAGGGGCACATGTGTCAGTTATGCCCAGTGAGCTCTGGGCATCTAATGTACAGTAAGTGGTAGCAGTTAGCACTGTACTACTGTACACTAACATTTTTGCTAAGAGGGTAGAGTTAATGTCAAACATTCTCATTACAAAAATCCTATATAATAAAGAGGTAATATGCAAATTGACAGTCACATCCTCACAAATGGCTGCCTACAACCAGGCTGGCAGGGGGTTTAGTGAGGGACAACCAAACGACTAAACAAGTAGGCTGTGTGGAGCAATCAGGCCGGCAGGGGAGGCAGTTGGGGGCGACCAGGCTAGTGGGGGTGGGGGTGGGGGGAGGTAGTTAGGAGCGACCAGGCTGGCAGGGATGGGGCAGTTAGGGGCGACCAGACAAGCAGGCAGGTGAGCAATTAGGAGCCAGCAGTCCAGGATTGTGAGAGGGATGTCCAACTGCCGGTTTAGGCCCGATCCCAGGGATCGGACCTAAACCGGCAGTCAGACATCCCCCGAGGGGTCCTGGATTGGAGAGGGTGCAGGCTGGGCTGAGGAGATCCCCCCAGCCCCCGTGCACAAATTTCGTGCACTGGGCCTCTAGTAAGATTAATAAAGAGGGCAGGAGGGAACTTATGGAGGTGATATTTAGGGCATAGATTTTACGGGTGTAGGCTTCACGGGTGTAGGCTTATCTCCAAATTGATCAAGTTGCATACATTAAATATGTACAATTTTGGAAGTCAACCATGCTTCAATAAAGTGGTCTAAAAAATAAAAATTATGTTTCCGGTGCATAGCAGGTGCTCAGTTCCTGGTGGCTGTTTGCATTAGGATCCTGGTGGTGGACATGAGGATGACCCTCCATCCACGTGTTTTAAAGTCCTTTGCAAACGTGGCCTCCACCCCAGCAACCCCATATTCTTTAGCGTCCACTTTCCCTCAGCCTCCTGCAGCCTTTCACCAAGCTTAGTTCTGGGGGGCTGTGGCTCCCCTCACGCCCGTGGCAGGCCACCCTGCTGTAGTCTAGTCGACCACGAGTGGGCTCAGGGCTGCTCTGGCACTGACCCCACCCAGGCAACCCAGGGACACCCTGTTATTCCCGGGGACCTTGCAGGACCCCTGGCATTCCCGGGCAGCCTGCGATCCAGAGAGAGGCAGACAAGACTGAGAAAACAGGTTTTTCAGACTTAGACAAAGATCTTTGCGGTTCATAACGTCAGCGAGAACATTCCAGAACCCCCTGGGGCGAGCTGCGATGTGGATGCTCCTTTCAGCATCTGCCTGTGATTGGAGCGGCCGGGAGCTCCCTGCCAATTGGCATGGGCGCTGTGGAAGCTGGAACTTTATAGCTTAGCAACGAGAAATGTGGAGGAACTCTGGAATTAATTTCAGGAAAGGGGAAAGAAAAAGCAAGGAGGTAATTAGTAGCCAGATAATCAGGCTGCGCCGTTTTCTTACTACCTTTGCGGCCAAAGCAAGTCGTGAACATTTTCGGCGTTGGTTACAAGCAGAGAAGGAACCAGCCAGCTATCTTGTCTCAAACCCTAATGTTTTGTTTTTTCCTAAGCTGGTGCTGGAGTAGGAATGTGAACAGAGCCAAGAAAGAGTGTATAGACAGGTATAATAATGAAAGAAAAAGCATGGCGCTCCTGGCTGCCATCGCTCCTTCCGGAAGCCCCTCGGCCAGTCTTTTTCTGGGATCATTTTCTGTCATGTGACGGATCCCAGCCTGTCTGGCATGGGGCTGGAGGTCAGGGTGGCTATACAGGCTCTGTAATTTCAGGTGGAGGCCTGGTTGGAGGTGACGATGGTACTGGTTGGTCCATCTGATGACTGTTTATTTTTTTAATCCGCACCTGAGGATATATTTTTATTGATTTTAGAGAGAGAGGAAGGGGGGATAGGAGAGAGAGAGAGAGAGAGAGAGAGAGAGAGAGAGATGAGAGAGAAACATTGATCGATTGCCTCCCGTATGTGCCCTGACTGGGGATCAAACCTGCAACCTAGGTATGTGCTCCAACCAAGAATTGAACCCACATCCATTTTTATTGTACAGGACGATGCTCCAACCAACTGAGCCACCCCGCCAGGCCTGATGACTGTTGACTGAGCACCATTCATGTGTCACCACTGAGTCAGGGGCTGTGAAACAGAAGTGAACATCACATACCCATCCCCGTGGGCTGACAGTCTAGCCAGGGGTGGGAGAGACTAGATATTAATAATCCGTTAAATATACAAATAGCTATGTGATTACGACTGTGCTGGTTCTGTGGGAGGAAAGGGTGGGGTGGTGGGAAAAGGTATGTGTGTGAGGGGGGAGGTATGGTTAGGTCTCTGGCTATCCGGGTCCTGCTGGGGATATCGTAGCGGTAGGGTGGGTTCAAGAGGGAGGCTGCACAGCGGGACTGGACAAGCCCCGCCAGGGGGCCTCAGGCCTGCGAAAGGGAGAGTTTGTCCTAAAGCAGCCGTGGGCAAACTACGGCCCGCAGGCCGGATCCGGCCCGTTTGAAATGAATAAAACTAAAAAAAAAAAAAAAAAAGACCGTACCCTTTTATGTAATGATGTTTACTTTGAATTTATATTAGTTCACACAAACACTCCATCCATGCTTTTGTTCCGGCCCTCCGGTCCAGTTTAAGAACCCATTGTGGCCCTCGAGTCAAAAAGTTTGCCCACCCCTGTCCTAAAGCCATGGGAGAAATGAGACACTAGTTGGACTTGTAGACTGGGGTACGGGGCCAGTAGGTTTACAGTTCAGGAAGAGCACTCCGGCTGTTGGGGGCGGTGGGGGGACAGATTGGAGAGGTGTAAGGAAGGATGCTGGGTGATGGGCCATTCCAGAGGCCCCTGGGATGACACGTGGGTGGTACCCCAGGGGCCACAGGCGTGAAGCCCAGCACTTCTACGGGGCCTTAGAGGTTCTCCCCAGCCAGCTCCATCCCAGAGCCGCATTCTGGAAAACGTCCATTTAGACACCTCACTAGTAGACAGCGTGACCAGCTCATCCTGGGTAGCCCAGGACTTTCCTGGTTTGAGTATCTAAGTGTCCGGTCCCAGGACAGCTCGGACAGGGTTAAATGGGGCAGTGAGAGTCAGCTTCCCTCACGCATGGGGCCTCCCCTCACCTTCTCCTCCAGCAGGCTGGATACAGGCTGAGCGGCTAATTCCCTGTGGGGCCCAGGATAAATTGCTTGGCCTCTCTGGGCCACTATTTCCTCATTTGTAAAATGGAATTTGACCCGGAGAGCTTGTTGGTCTCCTAGCTTTTCTGATTTCCTGCCCCTGTGGCTGCATTTCAAAGCTTAATGCAGAGGGTCAATCGCAGGGCCCTGTATCCACGGGATAGCCTTGGGCAAGGTCCTTGCCTCTCCGTGCTTCCTTTCCTCCCCCACAAAATGGGAATAATAGTACCTCCCGCGTGGAAATGTACGCGCTAAGTGAAGTGAAATTGTTCCGTGTGTTTGCATAGCTGGATACTCAGTAGTTGGAAGTATGGATACTCTGGTTAATGAAAAGTATGATTGAGAGATATGGTATTTCCTAGGTAGTGACTGCCAGTTTTCAAAAAATTAGGATGTGACTAAGCACCCTTACATCTCAAATTTTATAACATGTGCCTTTCATGGCACTTATACTGCAGTCTGTTAAGATTGCCTTTCACCTCTGAATGTCTAGTTCCACGTGGTGGAGACTAGGTCCTTTTTGCCACCCCTTTTCCCCCCCCCCCCCCCCCCCGCCAATAATATGTATTGAGTTAGTTGAGGTCACATTATGCCTGTTTTACAGATGAGAAAAATGAGGCTCAGGATGGTTAAATGCCTGCTTTTAAGTGGGGAAGTCAGAATTTGAAGCTAAATCCAATTCAGGGTCCTGTTCTTTCCACTAATGGACCTCTGTTTCCTCAGGGGGTGCACAGGGAGGGCAAGGCTAATGGGGAGGGGGTGCAAGGAGGCAGATCGGATGGGGGTGCCCCTGGTGAAGGTCTGACTAGGACCAAAGGGAGAGGCTATGGTGGGCCTGGCACGACACTGGAAGCCTGGCCTGATCCTCATGAGGACAGGAACCTTTGGGATGGTGCTGTCTCACCTAACTGGTTGCCATGGAGACAGGAGGAGGGGTGTGTGTGTGTGTCTGTGTGTGCATGCGCGTGCACGCACACATGCATGCTAAGATTTATTTCAAATCTGCTACCCAGGTTTGCCCCAGAGATGCCACCAGCGGGTGGGCAGACCAACCCAATACCCTTGAGTGAAGGGAAGGAAAAATCTGTTCTTCACTTTTAAATTTACTTTTATTATGAAAAACTTTAAGCATACACAAGAGCAATGTGGTACAATGAACCCCAACTACCCATCTCCCAGCTTCAACAACCACCAACTCTCAGCCAGTCTTGTTCCATCTATAACCGTTCTCCTCCTCTTTCATCTCAGATATTTAGAAGCAAAATCCAGACAGAAATCATTTCTTTTGCGAATATTTTCGTATATGACTCCAAAAGAGGAGTGGGGTTTATCCCACCATAACCCCTACTAAAACTAACAGTAATGCGTTAATATCAGCAAATATCTACTCAGTGTTCAAAATTCTTTGGTTGTTTCATAAATGTTTTCTTTACAGTTGGATAAAATTGGGACCCATACAAGTTCCCTCCATTGGGATTGGTTGATGTGTCTCTTACGTCTCTCTCAATCCGCAGGTTCTCTCTCCCTCCCTTTTTCTTCCCTTGCAATGTCTTTGTTGACAGAGCTGGGAAACACTTTTATTCTGTCAGGCAGATTACAGCATGGGCTCGTCCCGAGGCTTCCACTCCAAAGGTGGGGCTACAGACCCCACTTTGTCCCTGTGGTCTCGCATCCCATCTCCTTTCTTCCGTGGCGGCGTGACAGGGCCTGTTCCTGAAAGCAGAGCTCCTCACCGTGTCTCCATCGAGCAGGGCGCGTGTGGGAAAGCACCCAAGTCTTCCCTGCCTGCAGGAAGGAACCCGAGCCGTTTGATGGAAGGCTCAGATGCAGGCCTGGGGGAAGCCCACGCCTGGGTCCACAGCGACCCCATTCTGCTGGGAGATGAGCCAGTTCTTTCCATCTTACTGTGTGTGGACCCGTTCTTCTAGCTGCTCTCAATCCTGGCTGTACACATGGGGAATTATAGAGCCCCTCATGCCTGTCTCCCCGCCTCCCCACCCCCCCGATCACAGTAAAGTCATAATCTCCAGGGCTGGGACCATATCATCAATATTTTTTAAAGCAGCCCAGGTAACTTGAATGTGCAGCCAGGGTTTAGCCTCACAGCTCTAGTCCTTACTTCTCAGCCCCACAAAGAGAAGCAAGAAGCGAGGGTCTAACGGTAGAATTTTGAAGCCAGGGGTTGGACTTCTACCTGTGAACATTCTGGGACAGCACTGATCACGAGAACTTCCCACAGTCATCGAAATGGTCCGTATCTGAGCTGTCCAGTGTGGTGCCCACCAGCCACACCTGGTGAGTGGGCACTTGTGCTGGCTACTAGTGCAACCTAGGAAGTGGATTTCTTTGATAATTTTTAATTAATTTAGACATAAATAGCCACCAGTGGCTAATAGCTACAAACTTGGACAATGTCACTTGGGGAAGTTACTGAACACCTAGAAACCTCATATCTGTAAAATAGGGACGAATAAGAGTTCCTTCATTGGGCTGTTGTCAGGATTAGAGATAAAGTATATTAAGTGCCTGGTGTGCACAAGGCAGTCAATAAAGTGACGCTTATTTCCTATTAACACCAGCCTTTCGTTCCTAAAAAAGAAAAGAAAAGAAAAAAGCTTGCCTGGCAAAATGAGTGCTCAGAAGCACCCCACCACAGAGACAAAAAATTCTAAGCTGTTCCAGAAAAATCCTTGGAAAATATTCCTTAATTGTCAAGTTCAATTGCAGCCGGAGGTTATCAGTTGCAAGGGGTGTATTTCATGACAGATCTTGCCACAGCTCAATAAATTAAGCAATCACTCACAATAACATGTTGCTTTAATCCCCTCTTGGACCAGTTTCAGGTTGTTGGGTTTGTATATCAGCACAGCCCTTGAAAGGCGACTCACATTGGCCTCGTTTCTTCTCCCTCAATTCATCAGCTCCTCTTTGCGCCTCCTGACCAGCAGGAGGGAGGACTGGAGGCAGAGCAGACCTCCTTTTATCAAAACTGGAGCGTTTTCCATCTTCTGGCCTTTCCAGGATCTGCGTTTCATTCGCTGAAATTACTGGCAGGTTTATCTGCAACGAAGACAGAAAGCGACACCGCTCAGCAGCCCGGATCTGGATGCAGAAAGCTAACTTGCCACAGCTTTTCCATTCTTGTCTCCCTAGTGGTTTATAATCTCACAGTCGAATTTCATTTCCCCTAGAAACTTGGCACCAGAGGTGTTGGGCCTGGGAACATATTTGTTTGTGTAAATTAACAGAAAAATATGTTTTGTCCATATTTAAGTTCTAACTGTACTAAAGATATAAATACTGGATTCCACAATGCTTCTCGCTGCACGGGCCTGGCTCACCTCCCCAAACTCTGCCTTTGTTTATAAAACCCAAGCTAGCGAGAACTGCGAACACTTACTGCCGCAGAAAGCTCCAGGGGTGACCTCAGAGGCCGGGTCCACCCCCATCCAGGCTGGCATGGAACGTGTACTTACCTCATTTGTATTTGCTTCCCCTGGCACACAGGGCACACACACTGTTTATGGGTGTGGGGATGAGACCAGCTTTTTGAAGGGCACTGGGCTGTAGCTGTAGAAATTAAAATGCACATATACTTTGATTGAGGGAAGTTCCACTTCTTGCCCAGGCCAGTGTGTTCAGTGGTTAGAGCATCAGCTGTGCTCCAAGGGTCGCAGGTTCAATTCCTGGTCAAGGGTGCATGCCTAGGCTGGCTCCCTGTCCCCTGATGGGGGCCCTGCTGGAGGTAGCCAGCTGATGTCCCTCTCTCTCTCTCTCTCCCCCCTCTCCCTCTCCCTCCCTCCCCCCTTCCACTCTCTCTGAAGAGCAATGGAAAAATTATCCTCTGGTGAGGATTAATAAAGAGAGAGAGAAAGAGAGAGAGAGAGAGAGAGAGAGAGAGAGAGAGATCCACTTCTGGGAATGTATCCTATGAGTACACTCAACACATGCCAAAGAGCATATAGTTTTCAACAACAAAATCCTCGAGTTAACGAAAATGTTGGCCAGTGTGGGACAGTTAAGTAGATGCTATGCTAGAAGTCACTAGAAAGAATGAGGTGGGTCAGAGGGCTGTCCTGTCTTCAGAATATATTGTAACACCCTCGGTTATCTTAATGTTATGAGCAAAAAAGTGTATGCAGCCTGGCCGGCATGGCTCAGTGGTTGAGCATCGACCCATGAACCAGAGGGTCACAGTTTGACTCCCGGTCAGGGCACATGCCCGGGTTGCAGGCTTGATCCCCAGTGTGGGGTGTGCAGGAGGTAGCCAATCAATGATTCTCTCTCATCATTGATGTATAGTTCTCTCTCTCTCTCTCTCTCTCTCTCTCTCTCTCTCCTCTCCCTTCCTTTCTAAAATCAATAAAAACATATTTAAAAAAAGAAAAAGTGTATGCACTTGAATATACTTAGAAAATTTGTGAAGATTATATAAACTGCCTACAGTGGTTACTTTTTAGAAAATGCAACTGGAGTTCAAGAAAAATTGCAAAGGGGCTCCTTTATTTCCCACATATACTCTTCTGTACTATTTTTATCCTAAGCCTGCTATGATTTCTTTTAATTGGGATAATTAAAAAACAAAATGGTGCTCTAAAAATCATGTTCACACTCTGATTGGAGCAACATAATACAACAATAATACTCTTTTCATTACGTGTCTGTCAGGCCAGTGGAGTGGTGGTGGGAATCTTTGCTTTTTCTGCTCTTTGTGCAAATAACCAGTAGTGGGCTGAACGGTGGTCCCAGAGAGCTAAGATATATCCACTTTCTAATCCCGGGTGCCTGTGAATGTTACCTAATGTGGTAATATGGCAAAGACGTGACTAAGTTAAGGGTCTTGAGAGGAGTTGTTGATCCTGTGTTATCCAGATGGGCGCTAAATGCATCTCACACCCACCCTTGTAAGACGGAGGCAGAGACAGACACAGAGAGGAAAACGGATAAGACAGAGGCAGAGACTGGAGTGATGTGGTCACAATTCAAAGAATATCAGAGCCACCAGAAGGTAGACGAGGCAAGGAACGGATTTCCCCCCGGA